GGCAGTTGATTGGAATTGGGAAGAAACTCATGCTCCATGGATGGAACATATAGCCCAGGGAGTTATAGAAGTCAGAAGCCTCTTTGACGTCGTGCGTCTTCTGAGCACAAGTCACGCTTCTGATGCCCGAGATAAAGTCTTTGGAATTCTCGGGCTGCTATCCAACAGTAATGTATTGATTCAACCCCAGCCAAATTATTCTCTATCGCTTCAGGATGTCTTTGTTGGCTTCGTTACCCATAGCATCTTCATTGAAAGGAAAAATAACCTGCTACACAAAGCCTGTGGCGTAGCGAATTCGATCGGTATCCCTTCATGGCTGCCTGAATACAGAAAGACAGCTGCTTGGAATTCTGCCTTGAGCAACTCAGATACAAATAGCCCTGACTGGTCGAAGGTGGTATCTGAGGTCTCGAACTCGGGTTCTAAAGTGACACTCAAGAAACCTTTTACCACAAGTCAGGGACACCATTCCACTGCCTACACCTACTTCTTTCAAATAAGCATTGAGAAAAATAACCCATATCATACTCGAGACAAACTTTCAGAGGCAAAGTCTGAATTGACACCCCGCGTCCATCATGATAATGGACACCTCGCCATCAACCTCAGAAGGGTTTTGACAATCCGCAAGGCTCCAGTCCCTGCCGGCTTAAAAACAGTGCAGGGATGCAGAGTTCCCGTCATGGTGCCTTTCAACACGGGATCATTGTTGAACCCCCATATGTACCTGATAGGGTCCGGCTCCCTTCACAGTATTATTCAGGCGGGCGATGAGATCTGGGTCTTAGAGAGCCCCGATTCACCGACCGTATTCCTTATCTTGCGTGGCACCGATACGCGCCAAACCTTTGGTTTAGTCGCTACTTTTCATTACTTGTTCTTTGTGTACCGATCTCTACTCCCTAATTCAGAATTCCCAACTAGGCCTACGGGTAGTTGTTTCTCCACTTTCGATATGGAGAAGCATATGGTAAAAGTTTATACCTGGGTACGTCGGTCGAGTTCTCTGAGAGCATACAGCCTCCAGTTCGGGTTCCCAGTCGAAACGTGGGACAGCAACCTGTCTATCATTGAAACTAGGAATATCTTTGAGACGACCTTCCTAGGGGTAAATGATATTTACGCCAGAGTTCTTCTGCCTTTTGTCATGAGAGCCTTCGAAGAAGATGGCAGTGAGACGCCCTGCCTACCCGAGAGATGGGAGGACCTCTACATCTCATCTCTTAAATCGGAAATACAGCCACGAATAGATGGCGGCTATTGTTATGTGAACGCCCGTGAACATCATAATACAGAGCCGGTGAGAAACACTTGGAACGTGATCTCAATGGGTCATGGCATTATTTTAAGGAGACGACTGGAGGAGATCAAGCAAGATCTCGTTGAAATTATATCCTCACGCCATTATTATGTATATCTCGAAACCTGTCTCTCTTTGAGTCAAAGGATTTATAAAGACTACGCGCACAGCGACATTGAGATGCTGACATCGGAACCTGGAGATAGTCGGGGGGCCGATCAAGGTTACAACAGAGGATGGGCAAGCCGGCTGCGTGACCGAGGCTTCTTCAACAATGAATTCGGCATAAGAACGGAACCTCCTCTTTTATTTCCTGACAATGAACTTTGCCGAGATTTTGGATTAGATGGGTGCCAATATCGGGTTACGATAGTGTAATTAGGTATTTATTGACGCTTAGATTTTGCCGGGGTCACAAACCCGGACCAGTCTTGGCATTCAGTTGTCCGTCTTGGCATCGAATTTCAGACAAAGCTCAGTCTTGGCATCTCACGATGAATTTGCCCATCTGACATTCTCAAAGCCGGTATCCGGTTGAATAATCTCTCATTTTTGTCAAATTTTCCTTACAATGTTTCGTTTCTTTTCATATCTAAGACCATCCATTAATCTCCCATTTCTTCCCCTTCTTGCCCTTGCTCTCATACCCCATTGTCCATCACCACCTCTTGGCCAAAACTTCAACCTCGGCCGCCCAGACCTTGGCACTCTCCGCCGACTCTTGGCTCGCCTTTGGCCCCTCCCATCCCGGTTTCTTGGTCGCGGGAAAAAAGGAGCTTTTAAAAGGACGGGCATGACCTCTGCAATTTCCAGTCCGCGGCATTTCGCGCCAGAATACTAGTTGTTAACTTATTGCCGTACCTTGACAACCCATCCCATATAAAAAATCCTTGTCGGTGTTTCACGCTCCATCTACAAGCACGATTACTCTGCATCTCTCAGCTTTGCGCGATACCCTTGATTGGCCGATTGCCCTTTGCGACTCTGTCTGCGCTTCTTATCCCTGCGCGTCGTGCCATTTGCATTTCCTCAACGGGTGCTCCCGCCAAAACCATGTATCTAGGTCGAACATCAACTTGGCTGGTGTTGCTGGCTGTGAATAGCATCGCATATGCTGACGAAGAGGCACCAGCTGTGACGGCTGCGCCTATATATTTGCCCTACTACAACGAAGAGGCTTGGTCTCAGGTGCGCGGCAGTATCCTCTCAAGTGTAAGCCGTCTCTCGGTTAGGTCACCATAGTGGATGCTGACTAGAATATGCGCTAGGATTCAGATGCTCAGGAAACAACGTATACGATCTTCTGCCCAGATTTAGACGACGTATACCCACCAGAGTGTGATCTCTCCCTCGAGTTCCCCTTCATTCTTGTTGAAGGCCCTGATACTGTCCGGTTTCACGGCACCCATACCTCACAACTGTATGTCCTTCGCTATCGGCTGAACTAATCTTTGTGCTAACTAATGCAGCACCGCAAGCCTAGAGTGCAAATTACAAGGTACAACTAGGGCGACATGTTCCGGGCACTCCAGTTTCCACAAGGGCTACGATGACGGCGTGCATACAGGCCCAACCGAAGTGAAGTGGACTTCAACTTATTCTGGCGATGAGGTTGAATGGGGCGTCTTGACCATGGCCGAATTACCCCATGATTCTGATCCGTTTACTGCGGCGTCGACTACGCCAACAGGTCCAACCGAATTCGTTTCCATGCCTATAGCTACGAATGGCGACAGTGCTGGCACCAGCCTGTCCATCAATGTTAGAAGGGTTGCTCTTCTGACGGCTTGCTGCATGATGATAGTTGGCTGGCTATCATGATGGTCCATCTATCTAGCGCATAAGTAAACGAGTACACGATAACGATGAAACGGCCGAATGATGAAGAGCAAGCGAGCAATCGCGTTGGTTGTCTGTTAACTAGGCGTATTTGACAAATCAGATTAATATAGTCAAGTAGGTTGGTTTGAACTTACGATCAATCAAGACATTTCTGACCATTTATGATAAAGCTTTATTCATGATCTCCTTCAACTTGTCACATAAGCTCTACTTTTGCATAGTAAATGACAGGCAGCAGCGAAATTGTCCATGTAGGCATGGGCAGGCTAGTAGGATGGTATCGCGTGTTCTGCCCAAGAGGGGGGGGGATGCCTAAGTCTTGCGCCTTGAAGGTGCGAAGAATACAGTTCCGTAACGGTAACAATGTGCCTGTTATGTCTACATATATGTGCTTCTCTCTAATTAAGGACAGGCGGATTCATTCCTAATGCTGTGGTCCTACATTTGCACCTATACCTACTCGAACAACTCTGCATCTTGAAACTAGCCAGAGGACCAAAACCCAATGCAATAGGTCTCGGTCCCATAAATCTAGATCGATTTATAGCAAGAGTTGTAGTGCCAAAAATGCGCCGCTGTATTCGGGTCTTACCTGCTTCGATGATGAAAGATTTGTTAATGAGAATAGAGAAAAGACATGATGCCTTTCCTCCTGCTTCTAAGTACGACACCTGCCTTATGAAATGATGAAAGCCCTGAAGATGAAATACTTGAGTACGGCTGAAAATCAAACACAAATCTTCAGCCTTCATATATACATATGTATGGACTATAGCGAGTTAGGCATCATTTTACGAGGAAAGGTCATCGATACGATTGCCGTCGATAGACAAACCCCAAGATACCATCGAGAATAGCAGATAGGGCAGTGATCAATTCATCATAATTATTTGGTGAGTAATTCTTTAGACGTCTTAAATAAGTACCATGGTTCTCTTTGTGACTCGTCAAGGAATTTAACTACTCTTTCATTACAACCCAGCACAGTCTAAATCTGTTGGGCGAACTAAGAACTGAGACCCTGCGCAGAATGTGATAAATACTTTATCGCTACAAACAAAGTGCGTCTATCCACGTAGGGTCGGAATCATCTAGACAATTAGTGTTGATGTGTTCATGCGCTCCGACCGAAGGTCTCATGCATCGCCGGCAGAGCACGGCATGACCCCACTTTTCCCGGTTCCGAGACTTGGCGCCGGCCGTCGGCAGGACGGAGGTTGAAGATCTCTACAACTTTGTTCCATAAACCTGCCCTACGCGTAAAAGAAGCTATTTCTAACGAAAGATGAGCTCCGAGTCTTTGATGATGCTAGCATATCTCAGGTGGTCTGCTTTGTTATAATGCACTCCATCCCAGTCGATCTAGGTATAATTTCTTTGCCGCTTTGAGAGGTTCCTGAAAGCTGGGAAAACAGTACCATTCAAAGCTTTTCTAATTTATATGTGTCACTCTATATAAGTACATGGCATCTAATAGTGTATTCTAGATTCAATCTTCTGAACAAACGAATTAGTGACATTATGAGGTTGGTTTGAAGAATATGCAGAGAACCTCGTGTGTGAGTGAGTATCTAGATAATACAGCTTTTAGAAAAGTGTGTTCTTAGTTTTTAATTCTAGCAGATGCGGGTAGATTAGACTGGCTGAGTCAAAATGCCTAAAGGCTTAAGCTTGTTATTCTTTTCAGAGTAACAAATGTAGTGATTGGTTTTCTAGTTGCAAAAGCGGTTGGCTATGCATAACCTTGTAATGCGGAAGGAGCAGATGGGTGAGTTACTACCTCTGACCTAAGGCTCCAAAGTGCCGTGGTGTTGAGATATCTATATCCAGATATCTCCCCAGATCTCAACAACAAGATAACGTGTCCGAGTGGTTAAGGAGATAGACTTGAAACGTCTATAAGACAACTAGATATCTATTGGCTTCGGCCTCGCAGGTTCGAATCCTGTCGTTATCGGTTAATTTCGTTTTTTGGCATTTCTGATGGTGTGGTGATACTTGGTTGGTGTTTAGACACTTTACCTGCCGTAAAGGATATCACAGAAGATATTTTTGTGTGACGAGACGCCAAGACTTTGGAAAGAGCCTCTCTATTAGTTAAAGAGCCATATCTATGAGAATGGGGCATGCCTCGTCTAGATGAATTGGGCTGAGAGCCGGCGGACTAGGTGACCACTAGTCTTCCTCCCGTCGAACCCATAGACTTCCGAGATAGAGAGAATCTCGATATTCAGATCTTATCAAGATATCCTCTAGTCTATGACGCTGGAAAACTAGAGATGCTGCATGCAGAAACCACGTCAGAGGTCGCACAAGACGCGGTATTAGTGGTGCAGCTCTAAGGCCAAAGCACCGAACAACTTCTTTTCAATACAGCTTCATGCAGGCAACCGCATGCCCTCGTAAACATCTTCGCTTTTCTCTCAATTCACATTTACTACGTAGTAATTGAGTGCATTTTTTGTCAACTTACCGAATTAGGCAATCGGTTGCTAATTTAAGCTCACTACTCCATACCCCACAGCCGTTTCGGCATGGCCCGTCCATGAAGAGAATGAAGAAGGAGCAAAGGTCGTTCAGAAAGAAGAGGAAGAGCAGGAGGTAGTGATAGGCAAGCAGCTATGCAGGACGGCGGTTTCGCCATCAACATCAGCGTCTTGTACATTCATATCTTCAGTGCGAATCTGATTTCTTCTTAGTTGACTTTACATCCTGTTGAACTTGTTATTGTTTGAGTTTGTTGATTGCTAACATGACTATCATGTAGCGATTACGCGGCACTGGGAATGGAGGCAAAGAACTGGAAATGGACGAGTAAAGGGGTAGGCGTTTTCTAGAGACATGGCTATGAGCCGCATTTCAACACGCTATTCTTGGATCGGGAGATTAGTGCAAAAGTCGATGCTTGCCACGCAGCTGAAACAAGACTTGACTTGGTAACTCGATGCGAATGAATCATTTCTAAAGTCAAGGTTCGATGATCGCGAGGTATGCCACAGCGAGATTACTCGTTGTGTCCACGGGCAGTTAACGATCCTATGGGGTTCTTTTTGCCTAAGCTAACAGCAGGCTCCGTTGACGGGTATCAAAACAGCGCCTCAACAGAAGAAAGTAAACATCAATCAAGCAATGAACAGAATACAGCTACTGTGAGACAAGACAATGGCATGTCTGAGCAGATAATCAATATCAGCCCGCCATGTCTGTCTCGCGTTGCTGACGGGCTTGCAGCGAGGCTCAAAAGGGAAGATTACCTCCGGCCAAGCTCCGGTAGGCTTCATATCCGCATACGAGAGCTGCATGTTTTAAATACACCGAGACATGGGAAAGAGATCTTGGGTCTAGGATGGGCCTCAATCCTTATGGTACCTAGTCAGTCGGTTCATGGGAATGTGGAGGAGCCGGGATTCCGCGCGCATCCACATACAAGACAAGAAGCTTGGCCTTGAGCTTCTTTTGCAATCTCGTATCAAGAATTTCTCGGGATTGACCCGAGACTCGTTCCTTATCTTGGCTGACAGCCAGCTCTTGTCAGGTTAGCACAGACCTTGCTGTCCATGGATGAACGATAGGGAGCTGAGCATTTGGCCCTGAGACCAAACTCAATTTGGACTTGGCGCCAGCTCAGCGAAGTTTCTTTTTCTGTTTCTGGCTTGTGATGGCGTCGCGTTCCTGAAAAATGGCGGCCGACATGAATTTCCACGTGTCTGACCTAACCAACAGGGATGTTTGTGAAATGGGAACACAACAACTGTCAAGCAGCGTGTGTAGGACTGCCTTTCGTTGAGAGAAACAACGCGTGTTGGAAACGTTGCAATCAAGATCAGACGAACAGAAACCTCCGGCGTGTTTCGTGTTTCAAGATCCCCCTTTTTGGTGGTTCTGTATTTCTGTGTTTCGTCAGTGAGTCAGGCTTGTGTTGATCAATCACTCTGGAGTCAACCAGTTTTTACCTGCAACTGCCCAAGCAAGGGCAGAAAAGAAAGATTGCTGGGGGTGGGGAGTGGAGTTGGGTAACGTTGATGCAAAGTTGATGGACAGGGATTTCATGAATCTGTCATTGATGGATGGTTACGCAGCAGCACAAAACACCCAGATCATGCAGAGAGCTTATGGATATTTCGGCCAGATTAGACGCGCGTTCAGAGGCATATGTCAAGTTCACAAAGCTCCTCTCCTCTAAAAGGACTCTCAAGAGACATGCATTTCATGGCGTCAAGCCTCAGTCTCTCCAACTCTCCACCCACCAATCCCCGCCCTCCAAGACATCTGTCAGGTAAACTTAGTGGATTTTACCCCTGGATCTTCCTCCGTCAGATCGACGAATAGCCATGTTTGTTCTTTTGGAAGCAAAAAGTATGTGGCCGTTGTTGACCTATTGACGATCCTCTACCCGCGCGGCCAGGCGAAACAACCGGACCTCTATGTCTGTAACACAGGATGCTTCTGGTAAATGTTCTACTGGCCAGAAACGACGGCTGATCGCCGAGAGCATCAGGGGTCGGGGGGTACCTTGTCATGCTATGTCATGCCCATCTGCGGGGAGAGGAGAGGAGAGGTCATGATTCAACGGTTCGCTATGTCTGAGGCTCATCAGCCCAAGTCAAGTCTTAGGTTATGAACCCAGCATTCATTCGTCATTCGTTCCTCAAGATCCCCTCCCTCCCTGTTTGTCTCCCCACGGATCTGAAAACAGCTCGCCAGGGTACGGGATACATCAAGCATACGCTTGTTATTAATACCTTGCCTAGCCCCCCGTTGTCTATCGCCGTTTGGTCTAGCCCGGTTCAGCCTGGAAAAGAACGAACGTCTTGTCAAGCTTCAGCTTATTGCGTTCTCGTATTCCATTCTTTCAGGCTGTTATCGTATCGCATCGCTTCGAGTGGCCCCTCTTTGGTCTCATTAGTTTCTTTTCTTTTACTTTTTATGCCCCCGAGTGTTTGAACCTTGCTTTTTCGTGTGATTCGTCTTTTTAATTGTGGCTATTGTCATTGTCTGTCGTTGCTCAGTCGAGTCGCATCTTCGTCCATACATATTACGCCCGACGTTCATTTACACTCTCGGCGTACAGCTTCACCTGGCAACACCTGCCACTTACTCAATACCGACATTCGTTATCTGACCAGACCACAAAGAGTTCATCTCATCTCGCTCATCATTAGCGACTCCCCGCCGAAACATCACTCACCCATAAACACGCCTCTTCCTGGAGAAGACAATCTATCGCTGAGCGACTCAACCAATTCAACCACCCATCATGAAGCTCTTGGCTCTAGCAAGTATAGCTTCGCTTGCCGTTGCTACTGGCAAAACTGCTCCAAAATCGTTGGATACCTCGGATTCTAGTATGTGTCGTGCCCAGCAGGCCCTGCCATATCACTAACACCTTTAGAATCCATCAAAAATGTGGCGGGGACACTCGCCTTTGATGCCATGACCTACTACAGCGGCAACACATCTTCGGTTCCCAAGGATCTTGGTGATCTTCAAGATCCCTACTACTGGTGGGTAGCAGGCGCTCTCTGGGGTGTCATGCTCGACTACTACCACTACACCGGAGATTACACCTATAACGACGTCGTTATTGAGGCCCTTCTGGGACCTACAAACCTCGGTACTGGCCAGGACTACATGCCCGCTGAGCATGCGGACGAGGAGGGTAACGATGATCTCTTCTTCTGGGGTTCAGCCGTCCTTTCAGCCGCCGAGCGAAACTTTCCCCAGCCCAACAAAGATCTCCCCTCGTGGCTCGACATCAGCATCAATGTTTTCAACGAGCTTGCTGGTCGCTGGAACACAACAAACTGCGGCGGAGGTCTTCTATGGCAGATCTTCCCAGAGAACCCCAATGGCATGACTTACAAAAACTCAGTCAGCAACGGTGGCTTCTTTCAACTCGCCGCTCGTCTTGCCCGTGCTACAGGAAACAGCACGTATCTGGACTGGGCTAACAAGATCTACGACTGGTCTTGGGACGTGGGCTTCATCGACCACCGCAACTACCACGTCTACGACGGCGCGAGCGTACTGGATAACTGCCAAAAGACCACATACCACTCCTTTACTTACACCAGCGGCATTTACCTCTATGGCGCCGCCGTTCTCGCAAACTACACCGAGAAGCCAGAGTGGATAGACCGCTCTAAGCGTCTCCTCGAGGGCACCAACTGGTTCTTCTCTCCCTTTGATAACTCGACCAACGTCATGTACGAGGCCGCTTGCGAGACGGTCAACACGTGTAACTGGGACATGTCCACCTTCAAGGGCTACTTGTCGCGTTTCATGTACCTGTCAATTCAGATGCAACCTGCCCTACGTGAACAAGTTCATCAATACCTCCTCCCATCGGCCAAGGCTGCTGCACAGACATGTACCGGTGGCAAGTCTGGTCGCGAGTGCGGTATGCGCTGGTGGGTTAACGGCTATGATGGAAACTCCGGTCTCGGTCAGCAGATGTGCGCTCTTGAAGCCGTTCAGGGCTTATTGCTGGATGAACTACCTGCGCCGCTCCAGGGCGACAAAATCAAAGTCATCCGCAACACTGACTGGGCTGCCATGGACACACACGAGTCCAAGATCAAGAGCACACCGTCAGGTACAGGGTCAGCTTCAGAAACAGCATCGTCAACCGCTGAAGTGGCTCAACCCACAAAGAGTCAGGATGCTGCCTCTCTCGCTCGAGCCGATCTCGCCCTGGCATCTTTCAGCATAGGAGCTGTTCTCCTATTCCTGGGATTAGCCTAGACAAAAGTTCTTTGTAGTTTATTATATCTTACACGGATTAGAATGGATAAGGCGTTAGGAAATAACAGGAAACGGTCTGAGGGATTACTTTGATATAAAACGTCTCATACCATGAGCGTTGCTTTTATAATTTCACGAGATTACGTCTAGAGAATCTAGATCTAACCTAGAACGCCGTCGTTTTATCGCCCTTTATATCTATTCCAGTGCTCTATGATCCTCTCACCTCGGACAGCGTCGTCTTCAATGACTCCAGGAATCTTGTCACCTCGGCATCTGTCCCGACTGTGATTCGCAGGCATCCTAGACATCCGTGCTCTTTACCTCTGAATCGCACAACCACGCCCCTGCCCTCGGCGAGTTTCTCGTAGACGGCTAACGCGACAGTGTTGTCGGGCTCGCCTGCTGAGTTGAGCATCTCGTATAGCAAGAAGTTACTCTCAGTACCACCTCGTAGACGACCGACGCCGGAAATATTAGGCAGTTCCTTAATGAGACGGTCGCGCTGCTCTAGAAGACGGGCGCGGTGGTCTCGCATAATAGCGAGGCCCTTGTCAGAAACGGCGTACGATGCAAGGGCACTTGTTGGGCTGGAAATGTTGTAGGGGGCCTTGAGGCTGTTGAGAAGTCTGGCGATTGGGGGTGAGGTGAAGGCGGCACCAAGACGGATACCAGCCATGCCAAAGGCCTTAGATAGAGTTTGCATAACGACCAGGTTGGGGAACTCGGTCACCCACTCAGCAAGAGAAGCGTCGTCAGGAGCAAAGTCAATGTACGCCTCGTCAAGAACAACGACTCCATTCCATGTTGGGTGGTCAAGGATCTGCTGGACATCGGCCTTGGCGAGGACTGAGCCTGTAGGGTTGCCGGGCGAGCAGAGGTAGACGAGCTTAATGTTGGGCTCATTCGTCAAGGCGTCGAGAACAGCGGTAACGTCTATGCTAAATGTGGGAGCCGGTAGAAGAGGAACCTTGACAATAGCCACGTCGTTGACCTGTGCGGACACAGAGTACATGCCATATGTAGGCGGGCATGTAAGAATACGGTCCTTCCCAGGGATACAGAAGCAACGTAGGAGAGCATCAATGGCTTCATCGCTGCCAACTCCGACAAACAGGTTCTCGGGCTTGAGTGTTTTGGTTGTGTGGGCGTGGGTGTTGCGCAACTCGCAAAGCTGCTGCTTCAACGGCTCCTGGTGAGGATCGGGGTAACGGTGGAGGCCGAGCAAGTCAACAACGACGCCATCGGCAGTCTGCTTAGCGACTTCGGGCTTCAGTGAGGGTCCGTACGCGTTCTCATTGGCATCGAGGAGAATGTTTGTGCCGTCATCCTTATAATCGCTGTTTGCAAGGTTAGCTCTCTATCTCTGTCATTGATGCGGGGGAGGGGCAACTTGCTCTCGCGCACAGCGGTAAGGCTGGAGGGCCAGAATATTGGGCCTAGCGCAGGCCTCGAGGTCGAAGGGAGCCATTGGGAAGTGAATTGACTTATTGATAGAGGATGTGAGGTTATATCGAGGGGGGTGCGTGGCTCTTTAAATTGTCAAGTTGAAAGCCACTTTCGGTGTCAAAGGCCGACGCCGGAGGGGCGAGTCATCGGCTTTTTTTGTGGGTCATTGACTTTGTCATGATAAGAGACATTGGACCGACATTGACGATAACATTTGGTGTTGAGAACCCTGCTGAGCAATTGATCAAATATGTATTCGCTCTATGACTCAATTAGCACTGCCGAAGAAACATAGTCAAGTCGTGTATCTCTTCGTCCTAGGGTTGTTCTAGGATAGCTTGGTCGTCACTACCCTACAGCATCGCAAGAAAAACCGTAATGAACAGAGAGTTCACGGTGGATTGAACTCATAGTTTCTCGGGGTTAATTGAGTTCGCTTTTATGCTTTGATCGTTTGCCCTTTTGAACTCTAGATGGGTCACGACGTGTCGGTGTAATTACATTTAGATCTCTTGATTGCTGTTGAAGACAGTTTTTATCTAAACAAATTCGAGGTTCAACACGCGCAAACGAAATCTTATAAGGCTTTACAAACAAGACGCAGTTCAGTCGGCTATGTTACAGATGGATGTTGTGAGAGGTAAAATTAAAGGAACTTTCATAGCCAGAAAGTCCAACTGACATCTGTTTCTCAAATTCCCAACTCCGAAAGATCATGACCGTGACGACGAAACGCATCGTCAGGCCTATGGAACCAAAAACGAGCTCGCCCTTCAACACCAAAGGTCGCGTGGCCCAATGGCAAGGCGTCTGACTACGAATCAGAAGATTCTGGGTTCGATCCCCAGCGTGATCATGCTTTCTTTTTGACCTTATTGCCGAATTGTCGTTTGATCCTTCGTTGTGGGGATGGGCGTCAACCTTTTGGTGGGTAGGACGAATAGCGCCGATGTTCACCTATGTTCACCTTTTTCTTTCCACTATTATCTAATTCGTATATTCTCTGGCGTCTTATATATACTGGGAAGTTGTTTAGATAGATATGTATATATGAGCTTCCTCTGTAAATAATAAATGTTAAAAGTGAAATTTCTGATCTCTATCTTACGCCCCCCTTGTCTTGCACATCTGTACCTGGTTACTCCTAAGCTGTTGTCGTCTCTGCATTACTAAAACACTACTGCATTATATTTTCTGCCGTCAAAACTCTGATTGTCTTTATTCACTATGATGGTAGACTCTAGATGCTGAAGCTTGTCGTTGAGAATCTCACGGTAAATGCCTAGCCTATTGAAGTTATCCCAAATCAGGGCCATGGGGTAAGGTCCTCCTCGTTGTGTTGTTAAAAGGAGCTCAGTCGAACTTGTCACTTCCCTTTTTAGTTCTGAATGGACTAAGATGAAGAAAAAAATACAGATTGCTCAGTACCACGAATTAAATGAGACGCTAAGACCTAGACATAGTGCTGTGGTTAATAAGGTATATTATAAAACAAGGGTTAAAGACACAGGAGGAGGTAAGCCAGATAGTAAGCAATAAAAGTTCAGAAGGAGATGACAGGCATCCGGGTAACCATATGTTTCTGTGAACCGCCTTCTCTTCCATAGTCGAGATGTCTGTTGACATGGCGAGAAGCAGATGCCAGGCGACGGAACTCACTAATATTCCTCTTACTACATCAAGAATTCCCCTTGTGACTAGACGAGCATCTATGACACCTAAGCCAACATTATAAGCAATCCGTGCTTTGTCGCTAGCCGATAAGAATACATAAAGGTCTAGTGGCTCCCTGATAGATACGTCAACACCTGATCTCTCACAACCATTATACTGACAACCACTCAATATGGCGCCTGACTATGATCGGACCACATGATTCATACAATGGGAAGGTTGTAGGCTAGATAATTATCGTTGTCATCTACTTTTTTGCCGGATCGCAAAGTTGTGGTTGGAGTTCGGTAGAAGGTTGGTGTAAGTGGCTTTGAGTCTTGATTGGCTAGACAACCTCGTCCCTTTACGAAACCCTTCGTAGGTACTTGTAAGCATTTCTTAACTTCTTTTGTGAACAAGCATCCATATAAACACATTTACAGTTAATGCATCTTACACACTCCATATTGCCTCTCTATTCCGTGTGAAAACTTTTCATTATCGTGTTGTGGGTTTCGCTTGGCCCGCTCACCAAGTGGGGGGACTCCTCAAGTGAAGCATGCAAAGGACGACCGTGCCGACCAAATACCACGGGTCCTATGAGATGACCGGTCTCGAGTCTTCTTGCCCACTCCTTGCCCACCTATATGAGATGGAATTACAAAACAGCCAGGCATGAAACGGTCGCGTGGCCCAATGGGTATGTCCAATCACTCGGATTCCTCCTCGAGGTTTCCATCCTCTCAAATAGAAACTTTCAATACTAACAAGACCTCAGCAAGGCGTCTGACTACGAATCAGAAGATTCTGGGTTCGATCCCCAGCGTGATCATTTACTTTTGCTAAGTGCAGAGATATCTCTTTTTGCTAGTGTTGGGTTGAGACGGTCTTTCAACGTCATAAACAAAGTCCTTAATGGAGAGTAGGCTTTGGTTGAAGATAGGTCGTGTATACACCAGTAGTATCACACATACTTATAGCAGCGTTGGAGATATGAAACAATAACAAACAAACTGACTCATGCCGTATACTCACTCTAATGCCTTACTTATCGTTTTAGTATCTAACACTAGGTCTCAACTGTAGTTTTATATCTGCGAGTGTTTCCAAGTTCCTTTAGTTTATTCATACTTGAAGTAGATACATGCGTTTGCGTCTGTAATTCTGGCCGAGAGGCTTGGTTTGCTAGGAAAGGCATTAGGAAGGGGACATAAGGGGCGTATAATAAGGAGCAGGATATTGTATATCAACGCACACTGCCATCTCCATACAATCAAATGCACGCTATATATACAGGAAAAGCGATCCTATAGTTTGCTTATGATTAACTCTCGAGACGGTGATCAAGTCGTATATCTCTTTGGTTCAAGTGTGACATTGTTCGAACACGTAGCTGATCTGATGGTCTGGTCATCCGCGCTAGATGGCTTAGGCTACCATTTGTTACATCATTAATCTTTGCTCCGTCAGAAAACCAATCTCAGAAAGAGACTATCATCATGGACACGGCAATTCGCCATGTGCATAGTGTAAAGCGAGATGTGGAGATGTGAATATTGACATGGGAACAAGCAGTAATAAGAACCCAACACAGATGGAAGCAAACGAATTGTACGACACACGCGAATCAAAAGCGAGGTTTACTATCAGGGCATTGTAATAGTGGCAGGCGAGTAAGTAGTCTCGCTCAAGTCGCTCACGATCTTGGAGTGTAATCTGGGAGCGAGAACACATCCAATGACCGAGGTCGCGTGGCCCAATGGCAAGGCGTCTGACTACGAATCAGAAGATTCTGGGTTCGATCCCCAGCGTGATCATTTTTTTTTTTGTCATTGATACCTCTCGAAGGAGTCTATTGAAAGGGTTGTTAGATAAGGTCGTTCTCGCGTTGGGCATACCTGTGATGTACACAAATGAGTATCGGGATCGGGATTTTTGATGTGGAACTTCCCTGGTAAGAAGTAATGTGAGTCAGCCTTGTAATGAGCAAGTTAGGTTTATAAGTGGACGAACGATTTGAGAGCAAAGGCTTTGGTGGGAGAAGAACGGGTTTGAGGTGGCTTTCACTGGTGAGTTTCGAAGGGAGTAATTAGCCGAGGGAGAGCGTTGCTCTGCCGAGAAACAATGATAGCTGGGTAACTGAGTGACTAGGCCCAGAAGTGTACGTTTGACCCATGTTTGTCGAAGGATCTTGTTTGATAGTATATGAAAAGTTGAGATCTGGAAGAAGAGACCGTGGGTGGTTGAGAGATGCTGTCGGCTTCATCAATAACAATGAACTCACTATCGAATTGTTCCGCAACCATCACTAGTCACTTATTGCTCGTCAAAATTGGCGTTCAACTATACTTATAGTCAATTGACCTGGTACACTGTTACAATATTGTCTTGCCCTTGCATCACTTCCTAGCTATCCTGGCCTATAGTTTACTTATTGCCTGAACGCGTCTGCTTGGCGTTGTATCAGAAATCCACGGATAGAACGTTGGGAATTCTCATGGCCAACACTGCTTATTGGTGTCAAACAACCACCTGCAGATGTCCGCAGATATATAGAGTACAAACCACATATCTTTAATTAATTATATGCAGGACAGCTTGGTCGGCCTCGAATAGATTATAGCCGTGACGAAAGCGGTCTCGCGGCTGTGAAGCTTGCCCCACACAACCACGTCTCAACCGTCCAACGTCGACTCCAGGTTTCATTTCTAATCCTGGAACTAACTGAACTGACCGCGTCCACAAGAGCCAGCCTCCCACGCTCGCCCAGATTAGATCTGACCTGACCTGACCCAGAACCTGTCATTCACCGACCGAAACCGAAACCCCGATCACAGTACACTTGACCTGACCTGACCGACTGATTGGACCCCATTCGTGTTCCATTGCCAGCCAACAGCAAGCCAGCTCGCCCTCACACACGCGCATCCATCCCTCCCTCCATCCTACAGTACCAGTACCTACCCATAGGTACTCTGCCGCTTGAAGCGCTGCCCTGACGCCTTGACGCCCTGACAGCCTGGGCTATCAGAGCTATGTACTCCGCCGGCTATGGATTTGGCAACAATGCTGCTTCTTCCTTCAACAACCCTGCCCCACAGCAGCAGCCTGGAACCCAGCCAGGCGCTCAACAGATGATGTATAACCAGCAGCAGCAGTTCGGTATGACGCCCCAGGGAGGCTTTGGCCCCGGCGCAAATCCTCAAATGATGGCCGGTGGTCCTGGAGGTATGATGCCAAACGCGGGTATGCAGCATATGGCTGCCAATGGTCAAAGTAGGTGCTATCCCATCATTTGCGCGCGACACTTGATCGAACATTTCGCGACGCGCCTGCACTCAATGCTTCTATCAATGCCATAGACACGATTGATGATAGTTGGACGACCTCTGTCCAGGCGCGCCTGGCAGCGAGCACGGCGCAAAGTGATTTGCGACGCGACCCGTCATCCATCCCCCTCATTTATTTTCAATAACTAACTTATTGCGCAGTGGCAGGTTACCAGCAGCAATTCCCCGGAAACCCGTATGGCCAAGTCGTTCCTTCCTCGGTCGCTCCCCAAAGCTTTGCGCCGAACTACATGATGGGCGGAGGCATGCAAGGCTTTCCGATGAACCAAGGCGGTATGCCTCAGAATCCTCAAATGATGCAACGAATGCAGCAGGCGCAACAACAAGCACAACAACAGCAGGCGCAACAGCAGCAACAACAACAGCCTGGCGCTATGGGACAAGTATCGACCCCTCAAAGGCCCCCGAGCGCTGCACAAGGGACACCGAACAGTGCCTTGGCTTCTCAACAAGGACAGTTCTCGACACCTCAACCTCCATCCCAAAGCCAAACGCCGACAAACCAGCAGCAACAGCCACAGCCGCCACAGCAGCCTCAGCACCAGCACCAGCAACAACAACCACAGCAACAGCCTCAGCAGCCCCAGGTGCAGGTACAAGCGCAGCAGCAACCACAACAGCCATCTGCTGCTTTGTCGACACCACAGACGCCGACCTTCTCCTCGAACCAAGGACCAACAGTTAATGGAGGCTCAACAGCAGCGGTACCGCTAAGCCCTGGAACCGAATCTCGCGACAAGGAGCGTTTTGCTCTATTACTTGACATTAACCACGAACTTCTCTATGAATCCATTCAGATTCAGACAACTCAGGCAGAGTTGAAGAAGGAGAACGCCGCTGGCGGAAACCCAGGTGATAAGAAGCCAACAGATGAAGAGACACAACTACAGCAAGATTATCTCCAGTAAGTCCCTTACCATGCTATTACTGATCATAACTAACAAGGCTTTGTAGATGTATGAGACGGTTACAGGCAAACCTGTCTTACATGGCGGCACTCGCAGACCGCAAGCCTGAGGTTAAAGTCCCACCTTGCCCGGCGTATCTTAGTGCACCCCCTCTTAATCTTCAACTTAAGCTCCGGGTTCCGGCTGTAGGAGGACCTGAAGGCGCAGATAACAACATCGACCCAGTTGCGGACCGCGAAGAACGAAACAACAGTATCAAGGACCTATATTCAAGGCTACAGGCCGCCTTCCCTGGATTTGACCCTAAGAAGGAGCCTGCTTTTCGTGCGGGCGCGCAACCTGGACAGAAGCCTGGCAATCTGATGGGAAGTCAGGCCAGCCCAACAGCCCAAAGGACGCCGAAGATGACGAACATGGGGGCACCACCAATGCCTCAGCAAGGCATGCCCTCATGACGTCTCTGTCGGGACTGAACTTGAAAATAAGGTGTACATATGATCACTGGGTTTATAGACATTGCAGATGGGAGTTTTGGTTGGATTAATCTGTTTGTCGACGGATAGCATTTACACTGTTTTGGTATAGGAGACATTGATCGGGCTTGGAGAGTTTGACAAACTGGCGCGTTAGAAGCACTCTTGTTATAAGAATAGCGTCGCCAAAAGAGTGTTTGTAAAAGAAAGGAGGAGCGTATACTTGGTCGTGGTTATTGATCAGATACGGTATTAGTTTTGAAACATGGTCTGGCTCAAGACGTTGCGGAGCACGCTCCAGATGCAATAACGATGAAACAAACTACGTTTAAATGAAAATGATTACATGTTAAATTCTCTGGCCTCAGTCATATGAATCCCAATACCGGAGCCGTTTTGTCGTTATCGTACGTATTAATTGTGATAGTGCAATGCAATTTTATATGACGTCTGATGTCCTGTGCCATATGATTCATGTTTCATGAGCCTTGCAAGCTACTGCCAATGAAAATCTGTTCGAATAACAATATCAAGCACTTTCTAGCCCATCCCTTCTCCCGTGTCGAAAGTTCCATGGGTTGTAAGACAAGCAATGGTCGCGTGGGACAAGGCTCAAGCTGATGCACAAAAGCTGCTGAACCTGCATGACGGGTTTGGGCGGCTCGCATGAGGCTAAAACCGAGGTGGACAGCAAGACAAACAATCCAATCATAGTAGAGTCAGAGGTAAAAAAAAATCTTTTTCCAAGCTGTGGAGGTGGATGATGGACGGAAAGTGGGTTTTCCATGTTTTAGCCTGTGCGGTTTTTACCAATGCCGCTCTGGCGCTGGCTCGAGCTTTGGTATGGATCTCGGGGTGTTGAGTTTGAGTGCCGGCTGTAATAATACCCTCAGCTCGTGAGAGATTGCTGACTGCTTACTCAATGTAAGCTTCATATGCTTACGGTCGACAGCTTACACATATGCAGTGGCCTTATGGAATGGTTCCCTGCTGCACAATGCCAGACTTTGCTTTGTCTTTCCCAACGCAGGCCTCGTCATGACAACTCCATGCCACATGCCAACCACCTCGACATGAGATTACTTACGTACTTTACTCATT